CCCCCCCTTCGTTTCTCTGCAGTTACTGTCTAGTAACACCTCTAACCTTCGACACATATATGACCTAATTGTATTACAAGGGCCGTAAAACTTGTGCTAAATATAAAACTAAAGAAGCCCTGTGAAATTATGTGAGGGCTGTCCTTTGTTACGGACTCCTTCCACCTCCCAAAACACAGCTCTCTTCTTTCTTCGCTTCCCTTCACTTAAGAATGACACGCTGCCAACTCATTTTGTTGCACGCTGGGCTGAGTGATGAGGATGGTCCTGGTTTGAATCCCCAGTCGGGCGTTCTTGAACTCGGGTTGTGTAAGGAGTTTTCAAGGCTCTAGTAAGAAAGCGTATGAGTTTAACGCCCCTTTCAACACTATTAGATTATTTAGGAGGCGGGACCTCCGAATGTAATGCCATTCTCCGATAGGACCGTGTCAAATATGTTGAGACCCTTGAAAACTCCACAAAACGATACCGGTTCAAGAACGCCCGGTCAGGGATTCGAACCAGGGCCATTCACCCCGTAGTCTTTCATGATACCAACTGAGCTAACGACGCTCCCCCCCCCCCCTAAAAAAATCGCTCTTCCCTGTTTGCGGTCGTTTGTTTGCGGAATGATGCACATCAACACAATGGCGGCCATTAAGTGCCGGGGAAAGTAAGACGGATAGACAGAAACAGCAGAGGGAAAGAAAAAAAAAGTAAGACCTACTAGTGGCACCCTCCAAACTACCCGCCTGTTGGACGTCAAAGTCAAAGTTAGAGGTTCTTAAAAAAGCCTAGAAAGGTGCGTTAAATCCATGCAGCAACAGCACTATAATTTAGTATCTATGTATTTATGTGGAGAAACTTGATAGTCCGGGATTATTTTCAGGGAAGAACAGACTGAACAAAATTGAAAAGAGCGTGGGTGATTTCTTCTTGACACTTGCATGGGAATGCAGTACATTATGAACACTACACTACAACTTCACTTGACGTGACGTCCTATTTAACATCGTCACCATCACCAACAAGAACAACAACATCAACGATAACAATAACAATAGCAGCAGCTACTTCTACAACAACCACAACAACAACAATAATAACAATTATGGCAACAACGAAGGTATGATAATATTCTCTCTGATCCTTGTGTCCAACACACTCGCACACACACACACACACACACACACACACACACACACACACACACTCACACGCACACACATACACACACACAC